TTTCAATTTGATCAATTTTCTGGAACGTTTACAATCGTTCTATAATCGAACCAATATGCAATAACAAATTCGAATTTAAAACGGTTCAAACATTTTTAAAATCGAAATAGATAAAAATATTTATAACAATGTCTGAAATGTTATCAATTTAATACACCTAAGTACTCAATAAGACTAAACGTAGTTGAAAACAAAAAATCGCATCTAAAATAGTACAGTAAAAGCCGTTTTTCCGGTTAAGCCTTAATCCTCTCCCTCTTCCCTCGCGGGAGAATTTAGAAAAGTTCCTTCTTAATGTAAATTCCCATGGCATACCCTACTAAAACGCATATAAAAAGAAAAAATCGCATCTAAAATAGTACAGTAGAAGCCGTTTTTTCGGTTAAGCCTTAAACTTCTCTCTCTCCCCCCCGCGGGAAATTTAGAAAAATTTTTTCTTAATGTGAACTCACATGGCATACCCTACCAAAACGCATATAAAAAGAAAAAATCATCTAAAATAGTACAGTAGAAGCCGTTTTTCCGGTTAAGACTTAATCCTCTCTCTCTCCCCCCCGTGGGGGAATTTCGAAAAATCCCTTCTTAGTGTGCGTTTTCATGACGTACCCTAACTGTGTACCAAATTTCACCTTTTTAGGTTCAGCCGTTTGCTCTGGGCGATGATGAATCACCCAGTCAGTCAGTCAGTTTTGTATGTTGTGGTAGCCCCAAGTCTCCATTCGTGCACTATGGTGGTGCGTCTCGATAGATATAAAGGTGCGGGAGATATGGGGGCTTAAAGTGGTTGACTTCGAAATTTTCTATTTCGATTTTTAAAAATGTTCGAACCGTTTTAAATTCGAATTTGTATTCGAATTGGTTCGATTATAGAACGATTGTAAACGTTCCAGAAAATTGATCAAATTGAAAATAGTTCGTTTGACTGGACGTAAAAATTCTATAATTAGTCTGGAAACGGGGGACCTAATTCTTGCATTCTGTGCTATAAGGGTGTGGGAGATATGGGGTTAAAAGTGGTTGACTTCGAAGAAAGTGGTTGACTTCCACTGTTTAACACTTCTATTGTTGACACTTCCATTAACAATGGAAGTGTCAACAATAGAAGTGTTAACAGTGGAAGTGTTAACAATGGAAGTGTTGAGTAACAAAGGAAGTGTTAATATAAAGCGGCATGCAAGATTTACAGGCGGTTTTTTGCATTTTTGCGGGAAATCGAACATATTTTTAGACTCATAAAAATTCTCTAATTAGTCTGGAAACGGGGGACCTAATTCTTGCATTATGTGAAAACGGGTAAGATTGGCTATAATGTAATTATCTTAATCTTCACTATCGTTACTTTTTGCCCAGCGAAGCGGGTCCTTGCAGCTAGA